TGCGCAGTACTTATTACTGCCCCAGTACTAGGGTATTTTTGCATCTTATGGATCTTTAACCTTTTTTTTATTTTTATGATAGCATAATAAAACCACTTTATCTATTATATCTGTTCTTTAAGTCTCCATATTGACTCAAGACTAGTACCAAAGTCTAAAGCCTTTTACGATGTTTTCTATCAAAATCTCTTGTAAAATATTTTACGAACCGCTTCGAGATTCAAAGCATATAGTGTAATCTCTATAACAATAATATAATCACCAGAATTATTTCTTGACACTCTGAAACATATGGATTTGTACAACCAATTTCACAATAATTCTTCAATCTGTGGGTAAAATCTTGCTAGTTCTCGTTTGAACCACGAATTACTTTAAGAGTAAAGTGTACATCGATCATTTATCATATGATTTTAGTTGTACAATGGGATTTTATGCATAAATTAAAATACGCCACTAACAAAAGTTTTCGAAGCCACTGTTAATCTTTACCAAAATTTTGTAATATATAGATTAAACCTTCTATTTATAGTAGTAAAATTTTCAGGTGTTATATTATTTTAAAAAAATGTATATATATATAGCATAAAGTTTGCCGGAGGTTCTCAAATTTGCTAGGGTTACACAAAAACAAATAGTAAAATTATTACTAAAACAGGTAATTACCCAATCAGAGTCGTATTTGCTATATAACCTGTTATACAAAAAAGATTGACAACGTATATTATATGATAAATGATTTACGTACACTCTATCTTTAATTATATTTTGTATATAGTTAGCTGTTTATAAAAAATTTATTATCATAATAGAATTTCTATAAACAGCTAAATATAATCGAAAACCTGATAACAGGTTTTTTATTGATAGTACTTATATAGAATATTTTTTTAAAGCCCAACTTAGCCTATACAGGTTTTAGCCAATATATATTATTAAGTCTTAGATTTGTTATAAAAATATATAGTAATTCAATATATATAGTATATATATACTATATACAAACTAAAAAAATTCAAATATAGCATTCCAGAAACGAAGTATATGAGGGGCGTTAATAGAAACCAAGCATCTTGTTTCTAAGTAATTTTTTTTTAGACTTTAGATTAAAATATCTCAACAACTATTAAACAAAACTTAACAAAATTTTTTTATTTTAATTTTATATAGCTATAGAATTAAAATAAAAAAAATTTATCAAGTTTGGTTTAATAGTTGTCAAAATATTTTAATTTAAACTTTTAAAAAAACTTACTAAAAACAAGATGCTTGGTTTCTATTAATGCCCCCATATGTTTATGTTTATATACTATAAGAAGTGTTTCTATACAAATTTATACTTTTGATTGAATATGTATTTTATAATTATTTATACTAAATTAAATAGTTTTTTACCTGCATTATACAGGCTAGCCATCAGTATAAGCTTGTGATTTTGGTAATTATAGTTATATTAAATAATTAGTTCTATTAAGTTAGCAACTAATCCTTATTAAGTTAACGGTTACTGTTAATAGCTGAAATTATACTTATCTGAAGTTGGCTATATGAGTTTAGCCCTAAACTTAATTAAACAAGTTTGGTCTAGTTTTTGTTACTGGTTTCGAGTATATTCCTCTTCTAGAATAAATTAATTACCAAAAATAAATAACTAACTATAAATAAGCTACTTTATATAGAAATAGAATTAGCATTTTATTAGTTGCAAGTACTGTAAAGTATTATACTAAAGATCCAGCATGGCAAATATTATTGTTTAAAGCATAATAACAGACTCATACTCTATACTGTTTGATGACTAAAACAATATTTTTAATATATTTACAGTAAAGTTATCAAAAATGTAGTTTGTGTATTTTTCAAATATAATACCACATATCTATATCTACACTGCTATGTGTTTTTTATATAATACTATATATTTAGAGTTAATACAGTAAAAAATAATTTTAACAAACTTTTTGCTCTAAACAATGTTTTTTATTAAGCAACTTTTAGATTCTTAAGTCAAATGAGTAATTTAATGCAATTAAAATAATAATATAAATAAGTATTTATATTTATGTCTGTGAGCTAGTTTTGTTTATTTAATAAATAGTTTTTTAGATTTCCAAACTAAATAAAATGGTACATAATAGTAAATAAATATTTATAATGTATAAACTGCTTTATTGATTTTAACTCCATTAACCTTTAAATCATGAATTATAAAAATAGTTTTAATAGTTTGTATAGTAAACAAGTATTAATATTCATGATTTGTTGCTAATTTTAACTCTAATAATTAATAAAATAGCTTTTAAATTCTCAAGAAGTATTTAAGTTCTTTTGCTCAAATATTACATATTTTAATGCTTTGGATATTAAACTTTCTACACAATGCCTAGAACTTATTGGTAATTTAAAAAACTTTAATTTATTATATTATATTAGCCATGAAAAGGAAGAAGAATCCTGTATAGAAAAAATAACTTTTAAAGTTGTATAAATGACAATATATCAGAAGAAGGACAGAAACTACTTTACAGAAACTAGTTATTTTTTTTTAATAAAGTTAAGATCATCTTAACGATATTAATATAATTATTAAAATTATACCTTATAATAGTTTTATAATAATTTTATAATAATTTTACTATATAATTATTTTAAAATAATTTTATAATTATTTTATAATTATCTTATAGTAATCTTATAATGATTTTATAATAATTTTTATAATATATTATTTTAAAATAATTTTAAAATTATTTTATAATTATTATATAATTATTTTATAATAATCTTATTATAATTTTACAATAATCTTATAATAATTTTATAATAATTTTATAATAATTTTATAATAATATTAAATAATAATCTTAAAATAATTTTAGAACAATTTTAAAATTGGATTTTGGAAAAATATTATTCAACTCTTTCCAACGATCATTTAAACCAAAATTTCCTACTAAAAGAAAAACAGTTTTGTTGGTCTAATATAGCGGTTTGTCTAGAGGTCAATACTTGCTGTTTACGGGACTCGTCTATAAGATATTCAGCATGCAAGTCAAGAGCGTTATTGTGCAAGATAACTAGCAGGAGGTGGTGCCCTTGTATAAAAAATTTTGGTGGAGAGATGAATGCCAAAAGAGCCTCTGGTCTTCTCCATCAACAAAGCTCTTAGGTCGTTATTTCAAAGAAGAACACAGGGGAAACAACAAATATTGTTTTTCAAGCCGCACTCCTTTTACTTGGTCAAGTGGTTCCTTTTCTACCTCTTTTTGCCTCCCTGTCGGTCTTCCAAAAATTTTTGACAAAAAGTGAGATTTGGCTTATCCCCTCCAAAAGATTAGCATTGTTTATATCCCAATTTGGAACAGTATAGTAGACTACAACTACGTGTTCCACAGATATGGTGCTACTATCTAGAATCAGGCCCCAGGCAACAAACTCCTAGTGACGGCAGCAGGTGGCTTGAGATACGGGTCTTCAGACGGCGGCAGCACCTGGCTTGAGATACGGATTAGGACGGGCTAAACGAAACTATCCGGAGTTAGTTGGAAAGAAAATCGAACAATAAGGCGAAGCTTTACAAGAGAGATATACAACTGTTGTAGTTGATATATAATTTTTTAATAGCCATGCACGGGTTATAATAGTGCCTTTAGGATTCTAGATTTCTTTTTATGTTTTTTCTTTTTCACAATCAGTGTTTCTTTTTTTTTTTCTGTTTTTTCTTTTTTTTCATTTTTTGGTCGTTTTCGTAAACTCTTTTTGTTAAAAATTTCTCCCTTTTGTCTCGTGCCCCTTGAGAAGAAGAAAGAATTAGAAGGGAAAAAGAGATCCTGACGCAGTGTACAACAACCTGTTAATGATCTTTGGGGAGTATCTGTTGTACAATACAAAATTCGAAGTAAGTTTTGAATCCTGGGAGAGTTGTTATAGCAGGTCGCATTGGGCATTATGCTTGGTAAATCTTTATTAGATTAAAACAGTAATGCGAAAGATGTTATATGAGTGCCTGTTTGTATAAATTTTTCGTAGTTCACATGAATAAAGGCAGGATCGCTTAAAAAAAAAAAATAATAAAAAAAAATAAAAATTTAAAGCCTGATTTTTGTATTATACCTATAATACTATAATTAGATGATGTCATCTGTTTTAGATTACTATAATAGAACTCTAGAGGATTGGTTGAGATTACTTGCAATAGAAGGGGTAAATATTGCCATGCCCAGAAAGCCCATTGATTCGAATTCTTTATGTAATTTTGTGTAATGTAGTTTTTTATACCAGGGACTTGACATGCACAAATTGCTTGCTGAATGAGCTCCTCACAACCAATTTTTGTAGTTTTATGCATTGCCTGAATCATCAGGCTTCAAGCTTTGGTTTCGTATATTTTACTCATCTATACCCGCATTACATGAACTATAAAGAAAATTACAGCATACTCTTGCTCACCACCATGAAGACTAGAAAATGCTTTCCTAATGCTATTATCCTCAACGTGGCTTTAATTAGCAAGGATATATTGAGGATTCCAGTAATGTCCAAATCATTTAATAATTTTCAAGGCATCTGCAACTGTGTTGCTATCTTCTTTACTAACAAAAAAGTGGGCACCAACATCCCAGCACCCGTATATATCCCTTATATACAAAGTAAATAGATGACAGTCATATTTGTTCGTCTTGTGCATCAAATCGATCAGGGTTAGCCAACCATTTCGTTCGAGCTTTACAAGTTGAAGTGGGTGCACAAAAACTATACTATATGTAGATCGACTCATATTGTTATAATGTTTAATGTTATACCCTTAAATAAATAAAATAAGAAAATAAATAAATTAAAAAAATAAATAAAATGAGAAAATAAATAAATTAAGAAAATAAATAAATAAATAAAACATACTGAAAAAAGGAACGAAATTGACAAAAAAAATTCTTTTACAAAAAATTAATTATTTTGCGAACTAGTTTGCAAGATAATTAATTTTTTGTAAAAGAATTTTTTTAGTCAATTTTGTCACTTTTTCTAGTACCAAGTCTATGTATATAATAAAATAAAAGATCACAACCTTCATTTTTTAAAAAATGAATACATTTTGCAACATTGGATTTTAAATTTATATTATCTCCAAAGTTTTTATTTTTTTGCGCTTCACATACTTTTTGCTTAATATTTGAAACCTCTTTTTATTTTAACTCTTTAACACTTGCACCCAAATCCAGCTTCCTGGTCACATAGTCCTTAATTGCACTCACAATAGTAGAAGTTAGGTAATTCTTAACTGCTTTCTCTTCCACTAATTTTTGAACTGTATCCGAATGCTTTAACATTTCACTTTCTTCAAGTGTGTGCGCATGGTCAAAGCTGTTATTATATCGTTCAATTTGCACTTTATGCATCCCAACAAAACACAATGCCCAAATTTTTGCAAAGCACAGGTTGGGAGGATGGATTTTTGTCTTCCTATGCTTTTTAAGAGGGATATCTTCTTTTTGCCCACTTAAATGATTATGTTTCATAAGCCGGTATGCAAAAACTTTCTATAAATTACCATTAGCATGATTTTTATAGCTAAATCTGGACCAAACATTTGAAACAAGTGGCTACTATGCTTGATCAAAATCATGCATTGAAACTTCAAATAGTTCACCAACATTGAAGAGAAGTTCACATCTTTCATTAGTAGTTAAGGATTGAGACATATAAAATTTAAACGTGACCTCTTTGTTTCCTCAAGCATAGTGTTTCCATTTTCTTCAAACGTGGCTTCGTTTTCCTCAAACCCTACACTTTCATTTTTCTCAAACCCTACACTTTCATTTTCCTCAAATCCTACATTTTCGTTTTCCTCAAACTCTACACTTTCGTTTTCCTCTATACTTTTGCTTTTCTCATATACAACACCCTCCTTTTCAAGTATAGCCTTCTCCTCTTCTACAAATATACCTTCTTCGTTTTCCACAAAAAAATTACTCATTAATAAAAATATATACTGGTATACAATATATATTGGTCTCTTTACTGTAATTAAAAAAAATCGTATACTTTGCAATATTCGAAAATAAGAAAAATTCAAAAGGAGGTAATAAAAAAAAAAACCTTTATATACAGTATATATATATATAAAAAAAAAAAAAAAGAAAAGATCAGATTTTAAAAAAAAAAAAATTTTTAAGTTTTAGTATAAAATCTTAGAAAAAAATTTTTAAAAATCTTAAAGTGTATAGCAATAGGCTTAAATTTTTTATCCCTATTATATTTATAGAAAAAATCTTAGATATTATATGGCTCTAATAGCCAAATAGAATTTAAAATTTCAATCAATATGATTTTTTTAATTTAAATACTTTAAATACCCGAAAAAAATCAGGATTGATCATATTCCGTAATCTCTCATGATTTGGGTAGTTTTGTGAGGTGCCAGGCTTTAGACGACCCCTCAATTAGGCAATGACAGTCTATAAGAGATCAGAGAATCACGTGTAGAAACTTCTAGATATTAGGTGATTTTTTTTCTTTTCCATTCTTCTTATTACATATAGTGTTAGAGTAGAATTTTTTTTCTATACAATCTATATAATTTATATAGCCTTGCACAGGCAAAAATAGTGCCGTCATAGTCACCTTCTTTGTGACTTTCTTCTCCTTTTCTCTTTTTTTTATATTTTGTTCATATTTTGTATTCATTTAGTTTAGCATTTTCCCCCTTTTTTTTGTTTCTTTTTATTTTTTAAACTTCCTGTTGTTCTTTGGTGGATTCTTCTATCTAGGAGGTAGAAGAGGAAGGTTGGAAAAGAAGGCGGTCATGATAGGCTGATGAACCAGGCCAGTGATCTGAGGTGAATCTTACTGTGGTCAGTTTGAACCTAACCGGTGAGATTGAAATCATCTTTGGCAGATCACACATAGGTGCTAGTGATATTTAGATATCTAAAAGTAACTGGGTGAGTCATTATCTAGGTTATGTGTCTAAGGCACAATATAATTAGTTTTTCTTCGGAGAGCTCCATGTCATCAATAAAGCAGAGATAATGGTAAGATCATCAAATTTAAAAAAAAAAAAAAAAATTATATAATAATAAAATCTTTAAATTTAAATAACTTTTGATCTACTAGGGTTAGGGTTCTGTGGCCTAGTGGTCTAGGCGCCTAACCCTCCACAGATGAGGTCGACGGTTCAATTATAGCTGGTGGTAATTAATTTAATTAATTATCTCTGTAACCTTCAGGGGCTTTTAAATGCGAAACCCTGTGGCAGTAAAACTATGTGAAGTACATATTTGGATGATAAAGAATTCTTGGAAGAAGTCCCAAGCCATGGAGAAGATCGGGCACTACGTGTGACATGGGTCACAGAAGGTAATATTGCAGAAGGCTGTGCATGTGAATCCACGATTGGCAAGGTAGCACCAACAACCCTAAGGCGGCATTGGGATCTTGATTGGGAGGACAGTTGTATACAATATATCCAGAAGTGGTGAGAGAAGCAGTGAACATAGTAAGGGGCTGTGGTAAGAGAATGGCTTTACCAAA